GAGCATTTTTCAACAGTCATCATGGCCCTATAACTATCAGTATTAAAGCACAAGAGACTGTAAATCCATTTAAAAACTTAATTTGAAGCCCAATTCTTGACCCAACTTTTTCTACCAGTAATATGCTCAGTTGTATTTACTGGAGTTTAAGGCATCTGGGTTTTGTTTTGTATGCAGGTGACTGTAATACCACCTGGGCTTTTTTATTAAATAAATAGAAATGGGTCTATTTCTCAGCTCTAAACAACCCCATAACTTTGAGGTAGTTTATCCATCCCTAAAAAAATGTTGCTATTGAGGTATAAATGGTACATAATTCTCTCTGTGGTCATGGCATTTCTTTTTGAGAAGTGAAAAATTAATATCCAGCTTATATGGATTTATATGTCAAGTAAGGGGAAAATTAGCATATTGTCAATAAAGAGAATATTAATAATAATATGGTAGAGGAGGAGGAATCTAGCAATGTTTCAATTAGGATAGCAAATATCTTGGGATTGCAGTGGTCCTGAACACCACCGGTTTCATATTTCAATCTCTCTTTTGAACGTTATTCACTCTGTTCTATCAAATATCAAGAGATTCCTGACATGACTTTTTGTATCAAATTGGCTCCATTTCCCCACCTTTCCCCTTTTATTTAAAATACTATCGTGGTAAAAACTGGCTGACTAGGCTGATAGTTTGCTTTAAAATGATAACAAGAACGTTAAATTTGGACTAATAGGCCATTTTCTACCATCTTTAGGAATGCTAGGACAATGATGAACATTCTAAAAATACTGAAGACAGAAAGAGAGACAGAAGTCTGAGTAATAGAAGTTTTGATGTCATTTCCTTCACTTATTTAAAAAGATATGAAATCCATCTTAAATCATTAGATCTTTTTCTTTGGTGGAGCATGAAATTATCTTGCTGGTTGGGCACGTTGATTTTGACAGTCAGATATTTTATAAATTAGAAACTAACTTTAATGTAAAAAAATTTAAATATAATTTTGTTGAGATTGTAAATGAAGCTGTTTGTGATCACTAAATAGAACATGCTGAAACAGCTTTCAAATGAGGTGATTTATGGATTAAAGATGGGCCTAAACTAAAACCCTGAATCCAAAACATCTCTAAGTTCAGTCTCCTGATTTTAAGTCCAGAGGGTTCTTATTTTTAAAGTATGAAAATGTAGCGGAATCAGGAAAGATTTCAGCCAAAAACAATTAACAACTGTGAGGCAATTGGTCCTTTAATTCTGATTTTCATTTCCTTAAACAAACAAACAAACAATCTAAGTGAAACCATGACAGCAGTTGCAGTATATTATTATTATTTGTGCCTTTCTCATAACAGCACAGGCTTGTTGCTGAAGAGTTCTGCAAAGCCTAAACTCCAGCCAACTTTCATATCTTCATTGTTGGGGGAAATAAACTATTGTTGATGCTAAACTCTATATAATTTGCTATCTTGTGATATTGGAAGGGGAAGGAATCTCTTCTGAAACTGTCACTGAGCATGAATTTTAATCTAAAGAACATCAGAATCTTGGTCATGAAGGTCTTGACAGGCAAAGGTAAATCATGTATAAAGGTAAATCATGATAAACCAGTATAAATTTGTTTTCTTCAGCACAGTGATGGGTGACCATCCTCTGTCAAAAATGTGGCTTCATGTATGTAACTTTCATTTGCAAAGCTACATATTCAAAAGATTATTTAAATGTGGAGTCTCTCTAGCATTTATATATGTATATACACAACACACACTTTCTCTCTAACTACATATATAGTTTAATAATCTCTTGATTAACCGCTTCATACAAAGAGAGGAGGGTATATTGTGCTTCCTTTTAAAATATCTACTGTCTGAAAGATCTGGATATATACCATCTAGATGTATATATTTAAAATAAAAACACATTCTAAATGCTAAATTCTGTTGGAAGATGCTTTCCTTGAACTTGCCTCATAGTCTGAGTCTCAGGTTCAGTGTATTTGTAGAGAGTAGTCCTATAGTACTTGACAAACTAAGAGACCAATTGAATCCTTAATTGTTGTACCAAGGCCTTTAAAATACAGTAAATCATGATACTTGCAAATTAAAATTGATATGGCTATTTTAAAAGTAGTAAATATGATCATCTATATTTCTAAAAGTTACAACAAAGTAGTAGCTATTGGGATATTGCTTAGAGCTATTCTGTGATTTTGCGTTTTTCAAAAGATTCTTTGGTATGAAAATGGTCACATTTTTACATTTGCAACCACCATAAATTTACCAAATACGCCACTACTAGAACTCTAAACATATCAATTTGTTACAACTACAAACATACCAAGGCACCTTCTAATGAGCATCTGGTGGTAAAAAAATTAAGGACAGTTTTTTCATTGAACATGGGTGAAATGTGGAGTTTGTCTTCAAAGGCGAGGTGAATTTTTGTGTGAGCACTTTAGAAAAAATAGAAATATACCAGAATTTGTTCCTTTTTTCCCATTGCAATTATACTAGAAACACAGTAGAGTTCTTTTTCTTCCCATTTGACAGTAGAACTTTACTAAGTTTAGCATAAATATCTGGTTATTGTAATGTTGTTTGCCATGTTGGTCCCAGGATATTAGAGAGACAAGGTGGGTGAGGTAATATCTTTTATTGGACCAACTTCTGTTGGTGAAAGAGAGAAGCTTTTGAACTACACTGAACTCTTAACACCTTGAATAGTCTCTTAGATATGTGTGAACTACTTATGCTAAACACTCTGTTCCACCTTGTATTTAGTTGTGATATTCAGGCTATGTCTACACTGCACTTAAGTCGTTCAAATTTCTTTGGTTAGGGGGGTGAAAAAAAATCCCCCAGAACAACACAAGTTTTAATGATGAAAAGCGCCAGCGTGGACAAGGCTTTGTTGGCAGGAGATGCTTTCCCAGCGACGAAGCTACCGTCCCTCGTTGGGAGTGGTTTTATTTTTTTGTCTGGAGAGCTATCTCCTGGCGACAAAGAGGCACTACACTGCTTATCCTACAACAGTGCAGCTGCAGTGGCACATGCGCATCATTGTAAGATCCGAGTACCTTTTCCAATGCCTTTCTGTGCTGTCTATGCTTTTACTAAGGTCTTGCTTACATGAGAGTTTTACCAGTTATATCACTCTGAACTCCCCTGTGTGGCTACTATATGAGTGGCTTTGGTTTAGCTTAAATCCTTTCCCAAGAAACAAGCTAACCCCCCCCCCCCAGCTTTTAATACTAGAAGTGGGGCCCTACCAATTTCACTGGCCATGAAAACACATCATGGACTGTGAAATCTGGTCTTTTGTGTACTTTTACCCTATATAGATTTCATGGGGGAGGCCAGCGTTTCTCAAATTGAGGGTCCTGATCCAAAAGGGAGTTGCAGGGGGGGGGTCGCAAGGTTATTTTAGGGGGGTCAGGATATTGCCAGCCCTACTTCTGCGCTGCCTTCAGAGCTGGGTGGCTACAGACCGGCAGCTGTTGGCCAGGTGCCCAGCAGTGAAGGCAGCGTCTCGCCAGCAGCTGCACAGAAGTAAGATGGTAATACCATACCATGTCACCCTCACTTCTGTGCTGCTGCCTTCAGAGCTGGGTGGCCAGAGAGTGGTGGCTACTGACCAAGGGCTCAGCTTTGCAGGCAGCGGTGCAGAAGTAAGGGTGGCAATACTATACCATGCCATCCTTACTTCCGTGCTGCTGCTGGCTGCGGCTCTGCCTTCAGAGCTGGGCTCCCGGCCAGCAGCCGCTGCTCTCCAGCTGCCCAGCTCTGAAGGCAGCACCACCACCAGCAGCAGCGCAGAAGTAAGGGTAGCAATGCCCCCTCCAATAACCTTGCGAACCCCCCACAACTCCTTTTTGGGTCAGGACCCTTACAATTACAACACCATGAAATTTCAGATCTAAATAACTGAAATCATGAATTTAAGGTTTTTGAAATCATATGACTATGAAATTAACCAAAATGGACCATGAATTTGGTAGGGCCCTAACTATAAGTGTCCATAGGGTGGGGAGGAGGTCCTTGTATAACTATCACTTTTAAATTCACACCTTAGGTTATACTGAAACTTTCCCATGTAGAGGTGTCCTTAGATAGATAGCCTGTCCTAGAAGCACCAATGATTAGCCAATACTTGCTCTATTGGCATTTGTTTGTTAAAGTAGCACATCAAATGTATAGACGTAAAGATTGTGGTACTTGAGGCTGGTGTTTTTGTTTTACACAAATATTGCTTGCAATTCCTGTTTGAAGAAAAAGTATATGCTATAAGAAGTGACTAACCAAGTTTAAAATCAGTTTAAATACATTTTTTAAAATTTGAAAGCTTGTCTCTTTCACCAAAAGAAGTTGGTCAGATAAAAGATATTACCTCACCCACCTTTTTTTCTGGTTATTGTAATAACAGAGCTGTTCAGATTTCATACTACAAGCCCCAATTCCTTGTTTGCAAAACTGCTTGAAGACTGAAGTTACTTTAGATCATATCACAATTTCCATGGTTTCTTTACATAATTGAACGATGATAAAAATGATCAAATACAGTGTAGAAGTTACACATTCAGCTCTAATGTATTGTATATAAATACCCTGGATAAGCTCTTAGGGTATGTCTACACAGCAAAGAAAAACCTGCGGCTGGCCCATGCCAGCTGACTCAGTCCCGCAGGGCTCAGGCTGCGGTGTTGTTTCATTGTTGTGTAGATTTCTGGGCTTGGGCTGGAGCCTGAGCTTTGGGACCTTCCCACATGTATGGTGTCAGAGTCCAGGCTTCAGCCTGAGCCTGGAAGTCTACACAGCCAGGGCCGGCTCCAGGCACCAGGTTACCAAGCAGGTGCTTGGGGCGGCCACTCCGGAGAGGGGCGGCAGGTCCAGCTATTCGGCAGCAATTCGGCAGACGGTCCCTCACTCCCGCTTGGAGCGAAGGACCTCCCGCTGAATTGCCGCCGCAGATTGCGATCGCGGCTTTTTTTTTTTTGTGTGGCTGCTTGGGGCGGCCAAAACCGTGGAGCCGGCCCTGTACACAGCAATGAAACAGCCCCACAAGCCCGAGCCGAGCCCCACGAACCGCAGCAGTGGGTTTTTCTTTGATGTGTAGACATACCCTTACTGTTCACACTAACAACAGTCACAATTTTAATACCCAAACTTGCGAATACATAGGCTTACGTGTAACTTTGCTCTCGGGTAAAGTTATTCACGTGCAGAAGTGTTCGCACAATTGAGTTTTTTAGATTGTAATTTGAAAACTACATGGGTCATGTGGGGTCTGATCCTGTGCCAGTGAAATCAATTAGAGTTTTGTCACTGACTCCAGTGGGAGCATGAGTAGGACCATAAGCTTCCCCTATTCCATTAACTTTTCCCATTTTATTTTCACTATTGGAGGAGGCCCCAATCTTGAAATTTCCAGATTAATCCTTAAGGCTGCTGGAATCGGTGATGAAGAACTTAGCTTACTGTACCTGCACTAAACTTCCTTGCTGACTGAAATACACTGTCAGAAATAAATAACCAGCTCCTTATTTTATTTTTTTTAGGAAAAGCTAAGCACTAAGGCCTGTTGTAAAAGTGTAGCTCATTTCATGGGCTTCTGTATCCAATTTCTAAAAACATTTTTTTTTTTCAAGAAAAACTTTTTGCAAAAATCAACATGTAAACAAAAAACTACTTCTGTCTCATTATTGCTTCATTATTTCTTCAAGGACTTTTCACTGTTTCTTCAAGGACTTTTCACTTCCTGGTAGCTGAGAATGAGTGAAAGGCAGATCATCCTCTTCTGGAGCTCCCTCCTGAGGGTGGACGACGAAACACAACTTCTGTCCCCAGTATGTCATGGCTTCTATGAAAAACACAAACTCACTTTGTTAATGTGACGATTATTTGAGTCCTCTCAAGCAATCTCCTATGTGAGCACATATACATTCAAAGCTCTGCTGTTTATGCAAGTCCAAGTACGGTGAGGCTTACCCCATCATACCATATTATTGCTCTTTTCCAGTTAAAATGATGAATTGATTTTTTTCCTAAAGCATTGAGTCTTGAGAGTCAAAGGACCCTAAGGGAGTTAGGCACACACAATTCCCACTGACTTTCATAGGGTGGAAGGTTCCTAACCTTTCTACACTCCTTTGGACATCCTAGCCTTAAAGCAAATTTAAAAAAAAAACAAAACAAAAAACCTCAAAGACCTTGTTCTAGCTAAGATGTATGACTGGTGTGTAATTTATTTTCATGGGAGTGGTAGATCCTGACTTTCCCGTCTTATGCATGTGGGAATTCTGGACGTACATTGGATGTATATCAGTAATGTGCTGGGGGAATGAACACATTCAAAATTGGCACAAAAGTAGGGTGGGAGTGGGATAGAGCTAACGTCTGATTTGCCAAAGCACTTAAGTGTTGGTTTATTATTTATTTAGCACTTGAGCTCAATGAGACTTACTTGCAAGCTTAAAGGTACACTCCTGAATAAGTGCTTTGCTGAACAGGCCAAATAAGCAAGCTGGATGAATGGAGGAATGTGCAATGTCAAAGAGGGGCAGAAAACATGCAAAGGGAGAACTACAGTAACCTAAATGAACAAGTTGCAGCATCATAAAAATAAAATTTGACATTTCCTGCCTCTTCCCACAGCTGAATACTCATAATCCAGCTGAATGGAGTATGTCAGACTGACTCAGCTTACATCTCTGGGACCTGGCAGTAAACCCAGGCTATCCCTATCTGGATACCATTATGAAATAATCATTTCAATAAGGTTACTTTTTGAATATTTCCCCAATGTAAAAGCCACTGAAACCTTTGCTAAATTCTAGAAAGTGGTGTATTAATGAGAGCACTTTTGCACATGGGATGTCAGCTTCTTTGCAGAAAAGAACAGGTAAACTAGTAGTGCTCTTCTGTATTTTACTGACCATCACATGCTAGCTACACCTCTTCACCTCTCTCTCTCTCTCTCCTTTTTTTTTGCTCTCTCTAGTCTGTTGATTTTTATCTGTTTCTCTGTTTGCATTTCACAGCCTGACCTTAGCATCCTTATGTCTTATTCAAAAATTAAGCACTGAAATGTCTGTACTTTGAGAGAAACCTAGTTTCTTCTGTGTACAGGTTTAGAGTCTAAAAATTGGCAGGGGTATCTTTATCAATAGGCAGTTGTCCTATGCTCAGTTATAAATCTGATGATGTCTTGTGCCATATGCATCACGTTTTCCTGCTTCTAGCTTTATATTGTGTATTGGCATTAAGTTCTCTTTCATGTGGTCAAGAAGTAAATAATTGGGGTAAAATCTAAACACTTTGATCAGCAAAATCCTGTCCAAAGAGCTCTGCAGAGCTGCATAATTTAATGGTAGTTTTGGTGAATGCCACACAGTCACTGGGACCCTTTGTGGATTGGTAGAAATGTAGACCTGAGAGGTTGAAACAAATTCCTACATGTTCATGAACAAACAGTGAGGCTGAATTAATGAACTATAATGTGTTCTTACCAGCTAGCCTATTTACACACTTTGGTTTATTTCTCCAGTACACTCCGAGAAAAAACACGGGCACTCCAGTTAATATGATAATTAGTCCAATTCCACAGACAACTGGCTCAGAATAGAAACTGAAGATCAGTAGAAATGCCCAAAATAGCAGGTAAGTGACTGGAACAAGGAGATTCACCTAAGAGGGGAGGGAAGAGAAGAGAATTGTACAGAAATGTAACAGCATTCTGCAAGGTATACAGGGGAGAGGCAGTGAGGGCTAGTGGATCGAGCAATGGACTGGGAGTCACAAGACCTGGCTTCTACTTCTACCTCTGACAAAACGCAGCTGTGTGAGCTTAGCCTTCACTTAGCTGTGTCTCTATTTCCTCTCCCATCCTTTGTCTGCCTTGTCTCTTTAGACTATAACTACTACTTGGCAGAGACGTATCTCTTGCTATGTGTTTGTATAGTACCTCCCACCACAGGGCCTCTAGGCACTACCATAATAAACAACAGAAATAATAATAAACAGTACTTCAAGGTTTGATAAGGGATTTGAGGGATTTGCTGTGGTTGACACATTCTTTAGCTTGTTAATAGGAAGACCATAGGACTAAGAAATTTGACTTAAATATTTTTACCTTGATAGGTCTGAAGATTTTGGGTTTCTTCCAGCGCAACACAATCAGGCCTATGATTGTCACTCCATAGCAGAGGTAGTTAATAAACGATACGTAATTAATTAATGTGTACGTGTCTCCAACAAGCATGATGATAATAGTGGTCAAACACTAAACAAGAGAGAAGCACATTCTTATTTGAGTCATCACCAGAAAAGCTTGCTTAAAAACAACAACAAGCAATTAAGTTCCTTTTATTTACATCCCATGCTGGGTGTAGCTACTGCCTCCTATGAGTCTGTTTACTACATAAAAAGTGTGCCACAAAAACCCAGGATTGAATGGAGATTCTGGATTTATTTTATGTTGAAGTCAGGTTCCTATAGATCTAGTTATAAAAATGCATGGAGAATGTTCCCTGAAATGCTGCTGCTAATCGTGGTCATTCAATAACGCCTGTGCATACTTGCAGAGCTCTCCTCACTAATAACATGAATAGCTCTGACAAGTACTTGAAGCCCAATATTCAAAGGGGCCTCAAACCAGCCTTTGCATGTGCAGAACTGCGAGTGCCAATTAAGACGTTGTCTTTGAAAACGTTACTGTTCATATTGGCATTGGGTAAATTTGATGACCCAGGTCAAACAATGACTAGAGGACACACCAGATGTGGAAGGAAGTGGCCTGGATACCCAAAGAGGTAATGTGCGTGATAGCCAGGGTGTGTGTAATTCTCCCCATTTTTCCTACAAAATGACTATGCACATTTTTAAGGCCAAATGCCGGGCTTAACTCACCATCTCGGTGGCTGTGCAGCGTCCTGAATTGAAACGCTGGTGATGGTCTGCTGCATTGGGGGTGGGGGACATGGGGCAAGATGAGTCTGCAACCTGTGCACTGTGAACCTCATCCACGGGGCCTTCCGGACTAGCACGCAAGAAGTTTCAGGGTAGCGATACAGGGAGTGTAGCTCATCAACCATGATGGCACCTGTAGCATCCCTGGTGCTGCTATGTGGTTGAGGGGTTTTCCATTCCTTGTCCTCTCCTGATCACAGTGTTGGCTGAACTCCCAGCACAACCCAGATATTAAGGCTTTTCACAACAACCTTGGCTTAAGGCAGAATTTGTGATACTCTGTTCAGAAAGCAGTAGAACATCTGCAATGCGCCATAGCTGAAGAATGGTCAGCACCAATATTAACTATGTACTGTGTTAAAAATGAACACTCTTGAGAAAAGGCCTGATCACATGAACCCCCTCCCCCCCAATGCAGTCAGCATATTTCCAGTGTTTACGCTTCATAATGTATACGATCAGGTTGCACACAAGGGGAAGAGGGTGCTAATGAACAGTAAGACCAATGAAGCTGACTGATTTTGAACTGGAGAATGCTATAGGATCTAAACTGGTGTAAGCTTTATTCCCAGGCAGAAGCTTTCTGTAACTCAGTAACTTTAATCACCAACATTTCCCCCCTGAATTGCAGCTTGTTCTAGCTTCCTAATGAAATCAATGGAGTTTTTAATCATGGACGTCAGAGGGCAGAGGATTGATCCTAAGTGCTGCAGGTGTAACTACACTGGAGAACAGAGCACTTACTGTCCATGCTTTTAATGGCTTCACTCCACCAATTTCTGTTATGTGTGTTTTTAAAAGCTGCTAAACTCTATGACAGGACTTCTGGCAAAATTAAAGTTGTCTGTTATGGGAAAGGATGGATTTCTTGTAGACAAACATTCTGTGGCTAGTACATTACTTTGTTCTAAGTGACCTGTATATAGTATAAAGAATAAAAGCTTTAGCTTTTCTTTTTTCTCAGCCAGTGGGACACGCTGAAAATGACCTACTTCATTAATCTTTTTTGCATTACTACTGCTTAGAAACTGGCAGGTGGAAATTTCCATGCATCAGCTTGCTCATTTGAACTTGCTTTGTTTGTGAATAACACTATTAATGTTAATAGAGCTGGCTTACTGTTTATGGGCCTGATCCTGAGAGCAGGGCCGGCTCCAGGGTTTTGGCCGCCCCAAGCAGCCAAACAAAACAAAACAAAAAAAAAGAAGCCGCGCTTGCGATCTGCGGCGGCAATTCGGCGGGAGGTCCTTCGCTCCGAGCAGGAGTGAGGGACCGTCCGCCGAATTGCCGCCGAACAGCTGGACGTGCCGCCCCTCTCCGAAGTGACCGCCCCAAGCACCTGCTTGGTAAGCTGGTGTCTGGAGCCGGCCCTGCCTGAGAGGTCTTGAGTGCCTCACTTCCCACTGACATTAGCCAGGAGTTAAGGATGCTCAGAAGATTGCAGAATGGGACCCAACTTAGGTAATTATGCCTCACTAAACTTAGGTTTTTCAAACATCTTTTGATCACATAGCTGGTTTGTGGCAAAGCCCCTTAGACTGATGGGATCTCAGGTGTAGGTGACACTAAGGCAATCAGATCTTGTGTTCACTATATAGGGATTTGTCTCCAACATATTCCTGATCAAATGACCCTGTTGCCAAATTGGTTGGCCCCCATTTTCCCTTCAAATACTTTCTTGAGTTTTTTGAGTGGAGAGTGTTGCTTGCATGCCATACTGTTTCCTCTGATAACTATCCTGGTGGACAACAGTGCCATGCATAATGCTTGGGAAAAGTTTCAAAACATGTGACATAGGGTGACCGTACATCCTGTTTTGGCCGGGACAGTCCCTTTTTAAGCCCTGTCCCAGCCGTCCCGACTTTTTTGGCAAAAGTGGGCATTTTGTCCCATTTGCTCTTGCCAACTTGATCAGCTGGCAAGAGCAAACATGAACAGCAATGCCAACCCCACACAGCGGGGGAGGCAGGGCTTGAGCCAGCAGCGACGCCAGTCCCAGCCTCTGGGAAATATGGTCACCCTAACGTGATAGCATCCAGAATCATTGAACCATAGAAGTGACCGCAAGGGTCATCTAGTCTAATCCTCTGCCAAGGTGCAGGATTTGCTGTGTCTAAACCATCCAAGACAGATGGCTATCCAGCCTCCTTTTGAAAACCTCAGGTGAAGGAGCTTCCACGATCTGAATCTATTGAGCTGTGCACCCCAATAAAATACACTTTTAAATGGTTTGAACCCCATTCACTTTGCATTAATGGCCACCTTGTTTAAACACCTGATTTTGGAAAGGAACAGCAAAAACATGGTCATCTTCTGAGACCTTAACTAGGTCTACCTTAATGCACAGGCTGTGATTCATTTAAAAAATCCTGATGCATTAATTAGGTTTGCCTAAAGTCTGACATAATTTGCTATTGTAACTGTGTACAGTATATTATTTTTATTACTATTTATATAGAAATTAATATTTCAGAGCAACACTTGGTACATCCCGAGATGTAAAATAAACCCCTACCGCTGAATGATTCATTCATATGCAGTGTCGGTTCTGTAATTTGCACAGTAATTTAAAGGGAATGTTCTCTCCAAACTGGGTAGCTGGCATTTGTTTGATTTGCCAGTTCTGCTCTGCACAGGGAGCTTGCTTACGCTCTGGCTAGTTCACAGAGTGATAGTCACTGACACTCAGCACATTATTTGAGCTGATGTATTTTTATGGACAAAGGGACTTTGCTTCATATGCATCACCACAGCTCGGCTGCCCAATGGGAGTCCATACTGGAGCTGGATCTTGTTTTTTTTACACACCACACAGATTGTGTAGTGCAGCTCAACCAGAAAAGATTCCAGACATTGAGTTATGTGGGTGTGTATGGGCAGGAAAGATGCCAGGGCACTGCCACCTTTTGGCTAAATCATGATTTTATATAAACATAAACTATGCAGAACGGTTACTGAGAAAAATATAGTGCTGGGCGGTGATAGCACTATTGCTATAGCTAGCCACACACTGAGAATTACATCACCTATGGGTGCATATCCGAGCTGTGCTGAAGTCAGTTGACTACCACTGCAATGCAAAAGCCTCTCACTAACTGCAGTGGGGCCAAGATTTCAGCCAATGTGCCTGTGAGGGAATTTTCATGCTAACAGTTATTGAAGCATGAGGAATGTAAAATAAAATATAACAGCACATTTTAATCTTACTACAACCTTTTAGACCCCTGCTAAACTCTGGAAGGAAGTGGCCTTGATCCCCATGATGTGTCGTGGAGTAAAAGAGAGTTGGGGGTGTGTAATAATTCTCCCTCTTTTTCCTTCAAGATGATGAGGCACATTTTTAAGACCAAATGCTGGGCTCAACCCCACCATCTTGCTAACAACTCAATCTGAGTAACAACTTGTGGAACTCACTGCTATAAGATAAGTTTACATTGTGTAAAAAAACGAACCAAGAAACGAATCAAAATCCTTCCTGTCTACATTTTAAAGTGTGTAGCTTTTTAATGTAATTGTGTGTCCTCCTTATTTTACCCAATGTGTTCAGCTGGGATATTCTTCTTTTGGATCTGTTACGCTGATCTTCTCCACTCACTTTCTTTACAGGGCCAAAGTAAAGGGAAGACATCCTGATTCTCCAGAAGTTCAAGGTATCACTGCACAAAGCATCTAGTTTTACTGAACAACGAGTAGCATTTAGCCCTGTACCTTGGGCCCACTATGGCTATTAGCTTGGCAGCAAGCTCTAAACTAGCCCTGTGGAGTGGAATTAGCATTGACTGCGGGGAGATTGTCTCCACGTTTGCACTGAGCTAACAGAATCGGTAAAAGGGCTCACAATTTCTTAAACGAAGCATTTCAGTTTGCAAACAAAGATTTTTCTAAATTGCACTCCTGTTTAAGCAGATGAGACATTGTGACAGAAAAAGTAAAACTTACACACACTAGAAGGGCAGGGATTGGGGTGCAGTGTTTAACGTGAATCATAGCAAGCAAGCTGGGCAAGTGACCTTCACGAGCTCCAGAAAAACATAACCTGGGAAGCAGAATAGGAACATTCAGTATACAAGTTATTCCAACATTTAGCTGTATTGTTTCATCAGCCTTAATTGGCCTGATTCAAAGCCTATGGGAGTCTTGGAGTGGAAGGATGTTCTAGTGGTTAGGGTGCTAGTCTGATACTTTGGAGACGGGGTTCAATTTCCTGTTCTACCACACACTTCCTGTGCGCCTTGGGCAAATCACTTAGGCTCAGATCCTCAAAGGTATTTGGAAGTTTGGAAACTACGTACCTTTGAGGAGGATCTGGGCCTTAGTCTCAATTGGCTCAGTACTCCATCTGTAAGTATAGGGCTAATAGAACTGCCCTACCTCACAGGGATGTTTTGAGGATAAATACATTAAAAACCGTGGGCTCTCAGATTCTCCGGTGATGGGAGCCATATAAATATCTACAATAGAGCCTAAATCAACAGTCTTTCCAGTGACTAATGGGCTTTGGATCAGGCCCAGTATCTCTCAAGGTTTTATTTTTTTAAATACATAAATTGTTATGAATTGTTGTATGTTTTTAAATGTCCTCTGGTTTGTCAGGTCTCACCACATTTTGAGAGCACGAAGGTATGTGACTTGGCTAAAGCACTAAAGAGCTGTATTGTTATTGCTTTCCTGACAGATGTTTGTATTTTATTTTTTTTACAGAACTCATATTTCTATTAAATTAAAAAATGTAATAGACTATGGGCAAGATTCTGGTTCCAATTACACCAGTGTAAACTTCCCTTCAAATGAATGTTTACTTTGGATTTATGTCCATGTCGCTGAGAATGGAATTTGGCCCTATAACCCTCTTTTCTTCAATCTACGTTTTGAGCTAAGCATAGTTTAGCTTATAGCTACTGAAACTTTATTGTAAAATTACATTGTCTAAATATGTAGCCAATGTTTTATTCTTAGTACAAATCATTCCATCACACCTGCAGACATTCCAGTAGATCATAAGGGCTCTTTTGCAGGAGATCCTGCTATTCAGTATGATATCTGCTGACTGAAATGGAACAATTCATAATTTAATGCATCTAATGTGCCCAACACTGAGATCGTTCTGTAACACATAAAATGTCTAGCTAGCATTGTTGCAGCAAATTACATTAAAACATCCCCTCCCCAAATTAGACAATGTTCATAAAATTGCACTCCAGCTAACCTTGATGAGGTAAAAAGGTATCCATTTATTCCTCCAAATGTAGATAAGGCCACTGAGACTGGCATAACCCAGGAAAAATAGCCCAGTAACTTTTCACCAAATGTCTAAAGCAACAGAAGGCAGAGAAACTGAAATATACTGCACAGCACAGAACTGAAATTAAAGTATATTTTAGACATCCATGGAATGGTTTACTTACTACTGCCACAGCATTGGAGGACAAGAGCTCTTGAGGTGACATGGCAGTGAAATATGCAATATTGGTGAATGTATACACAAATGTCACCAATGGGATGGATATGAATATGGCACGAGGTAGGTTCCTAATTGAAGAATTAGGAGGTTTGATAAGAAATTACATTCACATATAACTGGACCATACCACCCCACCCCCTTGTCCCTCCCCCTCATGGGAGTTTATATCTAGTTTTGTGCTTTACTGCCCTATCGCTACATAGAACAAAACAAGAGAAACTCCACTCCTTCCTCCCCCCACCCCAAACTGTACTTCTCTCAGTAGCTTGACATATTGCAGTTCTGAGAATACTAAAACCATTACAGGGCTTCATGTATGTGTAGATTATAAATCCATATAACACAGGATATCGCCACAGAGCTGAAGACCATCAAACAGAATTTACAACATGGCTGAGATGGAGATACCAGAAAGCTTCTTCTTCATAAAGAATTCCTATAAGTTTTCTATGTTGTGTAAGCTATTACTGTGATAACTAACAGGACTAATAATGTTCCTCTAAGTTTAATTTAGTTTACACGAGGCTCTCTTTGATAAAAATGATGCCTTTTTCTCTCATTTATTCACTGAGGAACTTTGCCAAGTGACAGAAGCATGCTATAGACCCTGAGAGCTGTTTAGTGTGTACGCTCCACTCAGGCGAATGTGTTCACTATAGCTCTGATTTTTGGCTTTGTCAGATTAGCAAAAAAGATTAATAAATAGTTTTCACCAGTGTAGTTTTGCAAGGTTTTGGTATAGACATGAGGTTGGGTTTTATTTCTTTTCCCTAATGAAAATAGCTTTTTATTTTATATTTCTCCCTCAAAAACTGTAGAATTGATAAAATTCTGTTGCAAAACTTTCAGAGAGCTGGAATTGGCATCTCTAACACTCTATTGATAACCCATCAGGTTCAACTATGTGCCAAACTGTTTTTTTTCCCTGTAGCTAAAGATGCTACAAAACACAAACTGAATTATTTTTGTTCTTAAACTTGTGCATTTGATAGCAGTATCCAATTTCTGCTGGCAATCACTACATTAACTCTTTCCCCTGTTTCTTTTTTGCTCAGAAAATTCTGGATGTTTGTGAAAATGTTTACAGTTGCTTGAGAGAGCACCATACCTGCCTCCTTTCCCCCTGAAATTCTTTAAAGATTTATAAATATGCATAACTTTATGTACATGAACATCTCACTACTTACATAGGTAAAGTTAAAGTATGCAGATAAGTTTTTGCAGGATTGAGGCTGTAATTTGTTTCCATCCAGAATGTGTAATCCTGAAATTATACCTTGCTTAATTGGGGGTGAGGTATGTGTGCTGAACATCCAGAACCAATTGAAGACCCAAGAAGTGTCATGTGAATTCATCATTCCATTTTTTCATCTGAGAAATTCTGAAACCTTTGAGCTTTTGCTGCTTCTTGGTGGAAATCACTCTCCCCCTGGCTTTTCAAACATGATGGGGGATAACTCATTTCAAAGCCTGGACTATCAGCACCAAACCTGATGTCAATCACCCTGAGGGCACGTCTTCACTACCCGCCGGATTGGCGGGTAGCAATCGATCTATTGGGGATCGACTTATCGCGTCTAGTGAAGACGCGATAAAATCGATCCCCGGCAGCTCTGCCGTCGACTCCGGAAATCCACCACGGCAAGAGGCGGAAGCGGAGTTGACGGCGGCGCGGCAGCGGTCGACTCACCGCCGTCCTCACAGCCAGGTAAGTCGACCTAAAATACGCAACTTCAGCTACGCTATTCACGTAGCTGAAGTTGCGTATCTTAGGTCATCCCCCTCCCGTAGTGTAGACCTAGCCTTAGAGAACTTTATTCCTACAGCCAACAGCCAGCAACCACACTGCACATACCACAGAAGAAGGCAGGTTCAGAAGTGTTTCATAAATGGAGTGGGGTGAGGGGAGGGGGAAGGGAAAATTCTGCCTCTTCTGTAAAAAGACATTTTAATCTCTTCTTTATGTGTTCCCTTTGGGGGAAATGTTGTCTGAAGAACCAAGACCACAGACAATATGTTTTGGTATTATATAGATATAAAATACACACACACATAAAATATAATGTAATTTTGTGAGGCATCCCATCAATGGTATAGATTAATATATAAACAATAACTAGTTATGTTTAGTGCCATTAACATATAAGCAATAGGTAGCTATATTATGTTTAGTCCCGTTAATATAGATTAATATGTTAGCAATAGACAGTTCAATAGTGCCATAATGTCACCGTTACACCTATATGATATCTTCGTTTGGTGAGAGCTATGTCTAACTTGATGGGCCAAAGACATTCTTAATTTCAGCACCTTCATTTAACTTGCCCCATATGGGATCTAAAAAAGCAGGTGATAACCTTAATTACCTTTACTTTAGATACGTATAGACATTTAGTGATGTAGTCCTGCTGCAGAACAAGCTGTGCATGGTACCAACAGACTGACCCCACTTCTCTTTACCTCAAAAGTATCTGGGTCATATGGAAATAAATACTTGCCTGCGGGGATCAACTAATTCTTCTGTTACATAATTCAAGAAGTTCCACCCACTGAATGCAAATGACCCTTGAAGAAAAGCTAATGCTAACTGTCCCACAGATGGAGACATCCAAAAATTGAATGCATTGCTTGGTGTCAGTTCTTCATAGTTTCCTATAGACAGAACAAAAGCAAGAAGTTAAGTCAGAAGTATAAAATATTATGATGCTGATTGGTGGAAGTTGTAAACTTCCTAGAATTGTGCCCATTCCATTTTATATTATGTTTACTAATCTTAGACTGTGCTTCACTGGTTTGCACCCTGAGAACTGGGAAACATGAACATCAAACTACCAGTGCTTCCTTTAGATTCTCATACAAAACTGTCCCAGGGCACAGCCTTGATGGTGTAAATTGTCCCAGCTGTATTGATAATGGGATGGGTGCAATAGGCTTTCCAAAGAGAATTTAATTTCACCAATAGTACAGTACAGAGCTGCCACAAAACCTGTGTGATCCCCATTGACGTCAATGGAACTATGACAATTTATACCAGCTCAGCATTGGTATCTGATGCCCTAAACTCTCATCTCTTCTGAATGGAGTGAATGTCTCCTCTACAGGAACCCAGGGTTCTTCAATAACATTCACTCTACTCAGAAAAAAACCCTGCAGGGCAGGTGGAATTTTTCAAGCTGTAGGGCTTTTTTATTTTTAACCTGGAATGTGGTGCCCTCGCCTAATTATGCACAATTTTTTAACCTCTCTTCCTGGTTAGTTGTAAATATTGTATTTCTGTCCTCTCTACATGACCCATTTCACACATGCTGAAAACATCATCATCCCTTGGGTCCTGTACTTTTCATTATGGGGCTGAATCAGTAAGATACACAAGAACTTGTCTAATTTTAAGTACGTGAGTAGTCCCATTGCTTCCAGGGGAACTGGAACTACTCGTATACTTAAAGTTAGGCAACTGCTTACGTTGCTTGTTGATTTGGGGCCTTTATACAGAGTTCATCGAAAGCAATTTAAAATTTGAGGAACATGTCATTGAAAAAATTACACTATAAATCTACCCAGTGAGATATTTCTCAATATTTCAGTTTAGTGCTTTACTTTACTTTACTGAAAACAACAGTTTTCTTTGAGAGAGAAGGATGCTACATCTTATTTGTGTACTATGTTGCCTGTTTGATAATTACTTATCATGCTATGTTCTGAAGAATACTTCCTTTGTGATTGCACCCATACTTGGAAGGAATCCTGTAGCTTCAATTAACAGCAATTAACATTAATTATTTTCAGTTTAGTCACATATTTATGTCCATCTTACACAGTGGTGTCTTTGCTAGGCTTTGCTTGAAACTTGCCCTCCCACAGATCAAGTAACTTCACCAGCTACCTCCTTGTCCAGTTTCTTTCAAATCCAAATGCTTGCTAATTGTAGCAGAGAACTCTGTCAACAGGGGAAATGAAATAAGCCCTCAGAACTCTTCCCCGGCCTGCTAAGAACTAGAAAACAATGGGATGGGCGCAATAGGCTTTCCAAAGATAATTTAATTTCACCAATAGTACAGTACCGATGTTTAGGCTTTCTCAGTGAGTACCTTTAAAGATCTGTATGAAGCCCATAGTAATGATAAGGGCCAAGGCTAACAGTTTTCCTGCTGTAAATATATCCTGGATGCGAGTTGCCCATCGAACGCTGGAGCTGTTCACCCAAGTCAGGAGTACTAGAGAGCAGAAAACCGAATTCAGTGGAACAAAATTTTGTATATTTCAGAATATTCATTAACAAATGCTGAGAAACATAGACTGCTAGTTTCCTATCAGCAGACCAGATGGAAATCTAGCTTGGGTTTGGATGGGTCTGACGAGCAGGATTAACTCCACCCTAGAAAACTGCCTGTTTCAGAAGGAAGTTTGCCAGAGCTCTATCCTGGATGCCCCATCAATACTTAGGAAGTCCTAATTGTGGGGAGGGACTTATGTGAACTGAGGGCATGTCTACACTACAAAATTAAGTCAACCTAATTTATGTCGGCGTACAGTTGCCGCAGTAATTACATTACTTGTGTGTATCTACACTTTGCTCCTTGAGTTAGCAGTGTGCGTCCTCATCAGGATCACTGATTGAACTGTTAGTGTGGGCCATTGTGGGATGGCTTCTGAAAGCCAGCAACAATCGATGTTAGCAATGTAGTAGCTACACTGACACTGTGTTGACATAACTGCATTGACATTGACTCTATGCTTCCCGTGATGGTGGAGTTATTAAATCAGTGTAGTGGGCAAGTTATGACAGCAGGAGCGAAATGTTAGTGTAGACACTTATGTAGTTAGGTCGATGTAAGCTGCCTTGCATTGACCTAATGCTGTAATGTAGACCAGGACTGAGGGGAAGTGGTGAGTCTCTCCATCCCTTTTCATTCTGATTTGCTCCCCTCTGGGACCTTAGTAATTAATTAAGAATTGGTGGCATTTGGTTTTTTACACATACATATAAAGGACTTGCGAATTGCTAACCCATTTGTTGAGTTAGCAACAGTGGCTTAAATACAGTAAAAGCCGTGAGTCTCAAACTTTTGTACTGGTGACCCCTTTCACATAGAAAGCCTCTGAGTGCGACCCCCCTTATAAATTAAAAACACTTTTTTATATATTTAACACCATTATAAATGCTGGAGGCAAAGCGGGGTTTGGGATGGAGGCTGATAGCTCGCAACCCCCCATGTAATAACCTCACGACCCTCTGAAGGGGTCCCGACCCCCAGTTTGAGAACCCCTGAGTAAAAGGGTCTTAGTTACTCACACTGAGTCCCACCCCTTATTCATCTTTCAACCTGAACCTCAGACCTCAGTTTATACCTAATCCAGATGTGCACACCTCCTCTTTGGTCCATTGCTTTGTGGAATATATCACCCTATAGCACACAATGAAACTGAAACTAAGACTCAGCATGATATATAGCACCTCCCCTCCCCACATTCAGCCTCCGACCACCATAGTAGAACTGCCTTGGTTGCTGCAAAGGGGACTTCAGTGACCATTGGGGTGGGGTGGGGGATAGATTTGCCCCTAAGAGAATATTAAACCTCTTTGACGTAAACATGACCTAAACTTCATAGGAGCATAAAGAACATTAGGCAATACTCACATAAACACACCGTGGAGAGGACCCTGGAGGCATTATAAGGTGGGATGCAATTAGGGAACACCGGTTGTAGAACATAGTTTGAAAATGTCAGTGCGATAACAGCCAGGCTGGTAGGGTACATGATAAGCACTGCACTCCATAGCAGCAAAAAACTGTATTCACAAGAAAAACAATTGGTGCTGCTGTTACACCAGTAAGAATCATTTGACTATACAACAGTTTCATAATCTGATGACTATCTTTATAGGAGCCTCAGAATTAGGTAGCTATTTTTCTAAACCCCACCAAAACAATCACTTCTCTGGTTTCCCCCCAACCTTTCTTTACTCTTATTTTCCCAGATCAATCTGTTTTTTCATATAAATTGGATGCGATGTAGCACACAGTTTAAACATGCACACAACAAGGAGTAGAGACATTCTGTCAGCATATTGAGTTAGCTTTGCATGTCACATTGAGAGTATCACCAATGGATTAAATGGTGCCCCTGGAAAGGAAAAAGATGTGTTCTAGCATTATGTGTTACCACAACACACTCTTTGTTCTTTAATCTTTAAGTTGTCTTGAGCATTGTCTAATGGCTAGAGCAGAAGTTCTGAGCTATATTCCTAGCTGGGCCACGGACGCTGTCACTTGTGTCAAGTTTCTGCCTGCCCTTTACTTATAGGTGTTTCAGTTTTTGTTAGCCCAACCTGAGACACATAGGACCTGAATAAGAGCAACTGAGCACCCGCAACTTCTACTGACTTCAATGGTAGCTGAAATGGTTTGCCCAAAATGAGTGAATACTTTTGAAAATGTAGGCCTTTACATTCCTCAGTTGCTTACTCTGTGGAAGGGGATAAAATACCTGCCTCGGAAAGATGTAGGAAGGCCTAGTTGATGTTTATAAAATGAGATCACTGGCTGAAAGGGGTATATAAAGAAAAAGTATTATTTATGGGTTGCTTGTCTCTGACCAAGATGTTTTGATGTCCAGTGGGCTTACTTCTTGCAGGAACAGAACCTTCAGACCTCACTTCTGAACACTTCAGAGGCATCTCCTTTGGTCAGACTGAGCCCCACAAACTTTCCACATGTTCAGTGGTTTTTACTTTAAGAGGGAAGCATTCATCTTAACTTAAAATACATTTTTTTCTTATCAATTGGATGGGAACTATGAGGTAAGATATAATCAATGCAAGAAGATGAGATGCTACTGATTCTTTTATATATATAGAAAGGCATGCTGGGAAAGAAGAGCTTATAAGAGAACAACCCTGGACTAGGCAGCCTTAGTATGAACTAGAAAGTAGCCAAGAAAAGGTGCCTGGGAAACATATATAGTAGTGGAATGCACAACTCAGATGCAAGTGTTTCCCAGGCACCTTTTCTTGGCTACTTTCTAGTTCATACTAAGGCTAATTAGTCCAGGGTTGTTCTCTTATAAGCTCTTCTTTCCCAGCATGCCTTTCTGTAGCTGGCCCTTTAAATTTGGCAGAGCAAAGCAGCTCCAGCCCTAAAGGAGTCATTTTGCAACTCATTGTTCCTTGCTGCACCCTCCTTTCTTCTAGCTGGTAAGTGCTCTTCATTCCTGTTATGTTAGTTTTCCCCTTTTTATTCCAGAGGAGTATGGCATGTTCTCGCACTTTCTTTTTCTTATAAACCACTGTATCATTAACTTTGTAAATCAACTGGCACATGGAAATAATTGGTTACATTTCCAAATGACAATATAATTTAAAAACCCCACCGCATTCTCTCTCTTTACTTTTTTTGAGTGGCTCTTTCCCTCCATTTCCTACAGTTTCCATCTCTTTAAAGAAGCTAGTTCAGCCAAGTTCTTTCACACTGTTTATTATTATTATTTGTATTAACCAAGCGCCTAGGAGCGCCAGTCATGGACCAGGATACCATTGTGCTAGGCACTGTACAGACACTGAATTTTACATAATAATTGCTATCCTGTGGCTGTGTGAAAAAGCATAACATCAGGGGGTTATTGTGCTGTTGGTAGCTGTCTTTGGGATGTGAATTTTACTTAGTTATAACACATTTTAAAGTAGAAGTTCTTTTGGATTCTCTCAAAAGGAATTTATTTGGATTATAATGTTAGAGCCTGAGGGTTAAATAATCAAAGATTAATAAAACTTAAAGATTGAAATAATCAGTTGTTGACAATGCTGATCTCTGACAATGCTGACTCACCTGATTGCTTTTCTGGTGAAATGAAAGTGCCCCTTTCCCCTCAAACCAGCCTCTGCCTGTGTGTATGGAATTTTGATGGGTGTGGACTGGTGTGAGTGCAAGGACTGGAGTGTTTGTGGGTAAAACTCATGAGTTTTTCCCATGAATGTTCTAATAGCTTCATGTACAGTGGTGAATGCAGCAAAGTCTACATAGTGGTGTATACACGTTAAACTACATATGCCCATTGGAAGCAAGAATTTGAAAATCAGATCCTAAAAGCAATATCTCAGTCAACATCGGCAGTCACTTGTACATTGCAATATTAAACACATTAAAATTGGTATTTGGAACTATGAAATTTACTGGGAATGTGAATAATTCAGTAGAGAGAGATGATACTCAATTTGTTTCACATAGAATGAAATACATGCAGGTTTGATAAAACCAATTAAGTTAAATGCAGATTGTTGCCAGAGGATTATGAAGCCAAACTGTCAAACAGGGAGTTCAAAACAGAGATCAAATAATGATGAAAGGATGATACAATTAACATTTAGGCATATTTTAATCTTAATTTTGCTATTAGTCTCAGGTGTTTTAATTAAATCCTAGTCTTGAGTAAAAGATATTAACACTTGAGCCCAAACTGCTATTTGTTAAAAGGGGTTCAATTTGTTCCTATTAAGCTTGGGGGAATTAATGCACAGATGGTTATGCAACATGATGAGTCGCCACGGTAATGTTTGGCTCTAAACTACGACACAGGTGGGAGAATATGATTTGCAGAACAGAAAAAGAACTGTTTTGAGTAAACTAAGGCCTGGACTATATTTAAAAGTTAGGTCTACATAGCTACCATGCTCAGGGGCATGAAACATTCACCCTCCTGAATGTCTCCCCCCCCCCCTAGACGTGGCTAGATTGATGGAAAAATTCTTCTGTTGATTTAGCTACTACCGATTGAGGAGGTGGATCACCTACAGCAATGAAAAAACCCCTTCAGCCGCTGTAGGAAGCATTTGCGCAATGGCACTACAGTGGCATAGCTGCAGTGTTGTAGCTGTGCCACTGTAGCACCCATAGTGGAGACATGGCCTAAGGTTAACTTGGGTTGAAGTGAGACAGGGCTTTTTTGGACACAATTGTGTTTAAATGTCTGTATTGTCAGTGGAATACATAACTGCCAAACTAAACAGCAAGGCAAATGGTTAAAGCTGCAGTGTTTTATCTTATTAACAGTTCCAGTCACGAAGATAGCATACTAGGGGATTTTAACCCAAGTTGATAATACAAAAAGTTCAGTTTTGAAAAAAGAAAGGGCAGTTATGCCATGTACTCAGTTAACTGCCCCAGGTGTTTGAATGGAAAGTCATTCTCCTGAGACTTGATTTGTGTGTCTGAGAATGTCAGGAAAGCAGAAGCTGAAGCATTATCTGATAAACTTTTGGGATTGCTCTGTAATTCACTATGGTAGAATCTGAGATGTTAAAATCATTCTTGCCTTACCAAAGCTGAGAAGGAGTCAGACATTTTAGAAAAAGAGGTTTAGACAGTTTAAAATAAGAACTAGGGTCCATAGGCGCTGACTTTTGTTTTTCCCAGTGGATGCTCCACCCCAAGGCCCCACCCCAACTCCACCCCTTACCCCGAGGCCTTGCTCTCGCTCCACCTCTTCCTGCTCCCACTCTGCCCCCTCCCCAAGGCCCCCCCCACCCACTTGTCGCTCACTTCTCTCAGCCCCCTTCCGCAAAGCTCCCCGCCATCCCGCTGCTGCTCCTCTCCATCCTCCCCGAACCTCTCCCACCAGCTGCCTAACAGCTGATTGGCGGCCAGCCCCAAGGCCCCGCGGAACAGCTGATCAGCTGGCCAGCCCCAGGGCCCACCCAACAGCTGTGGATGGTGGGTGCTGAGCACCCCCTATTTTTTTTCCATGGGTGCTTGAACCCCGGAGCACCCACGGAGTCGGCATCTATGCTAGGGCCCAAATCCTCAAAGATATTTAGTTGCCTAACTCCCACTGAAATCAGTAGGTGTAATGTGCCTAAGTACCGTTGAGGATTTGGGCCTAGGGAAAATGTAACTGTTCTGCTCTAAATCACTGACAAGTGGTTCTCAAACTAGGGCCGCCGCTTGTTCAGGGTGGCCAACACGTCCCTCGGCCTGCGCGGCTTCCTGCAGCTCCCATTGGCCTGGAGCGGCGAACCACGGCCAGTGGGAGCCGCAATCAGCCGAATCTGCGGACACGGCAGGTAAACAAACAGGCCCGCCAGGGGCTTTCCCTGAACAAGCGGTGGTCCTAGTTTGAGAACCACTGATTTAGAGGGATCAGATTAAATGGAGCCATAGCCCTGTGACACACCTGCTTTTTGTTTACTGTGAGAAGATCTGAATGTAGGAACTTGCAGTTGGAAATGTCAATGGTGTGAGTGGCTAGCAGGAGTTGAGGTGCCCGACTAGCTCCTGCATGTTCTTAGGAGCAGCCTACTGTAAAAGTGCCAGTCAGAACACTTCCTTTATGTAGGCATCATGGCCTGGTGAACAGAGCATGGGTCTGGGTGTCAGCAATTCTCAAATCCTAATCCCATCTCTGTCCCTGAGTGTGAGGCCTAGAACAAATTGCAGCCTGGGTGAGCCTCATTTCCTTCATCTGTGGGATAATACAGGCCTCCTTGGGGTACTCTGTGAAACAACTTGTTACTGTTAGTGAAATGCTTTGAAAGTGGAAAGTGCTGAGTATTATATTTATTGCTCTTAATTCCTCAGCATCCATGATAGTTCTTGCTTGGTTACTCTCTAGAGAGTCCTGGAGGAGGGAGACAAAACAGCGGAGCAAGGTCTCATTTCCTCGTGGACTCTTCCTGCATGCAATGCCTCTCTTTCCTTGAGTGAGAGAACCATTCTAATTATTACTAGCATTGTATCAAATGCAGGCTGAATTTTTGCCTTCAGAAACTTGAGGCTTTGTAATAAATGAAAACATTTAATGTCTTAAGTTAATTTAAGATACGTTTTGTTTAAAGTTTGAGGTAACATTTATTAAAGCCTTGGGTTAGGTCTCTATGCTGGATGTAATATTTATTGATTTATATTAAGTACTTGATATGGTCAATCATGATCTGATAAAAAAATACAACTTACCTTTAGTTACATTGTTCTTACTGAGCATAGAGAAGAAAGATTATATTTATCAGAAATGCATAGGTAAGTTTTATGAACCTGAATTTGTTGGTAAAAATGCCACAGGCATACATATGAAGCCTATTATTTACTATTTTGGGTAATGTTCTTTTTATGACCTGTATACGCGTGAAAATCGATATGTATGCAAATGCACTGCACCCAGTTATACTGCTTTGGCAATACAGGATGTGACAAAAATACTGTAGTTAGTGTGATCATATTCAAATGCTATTTAAAAATTATATCATAAAAATAAAAGGAAAAAAAGGAAAAATTAGGCTCATTGGCATAAGATCCAAGCTAGTGCTATACCATCCAACTCTTTTTCTTTTTACCTAAACATTGAGAGAGAGAGAGAGAGTGAGAGTGACTCCTCCTTGGAAATGTTCATCATGCAAAAATATGACAAAGAGAAAAGCTAATCCAAACTGTATGTGCAAAGGGACACTGCTACACTGTGGGTTTTGTGTGATTACTAAGGAAAAGAACAGCAGAGTTATAGGCATGATTTTTAAAGGGATTTGGAAGCCCAGTTCTCATTAAAATTAATGGGAATTGAGTGCCCCACTCCCTTAGGACATAATTCCTATAAACATATTTGTAAAGTTCCCCGAAGTGCTGGATCTCAATCAGCTTGGCCTTAGAAATTCAACATTTTGGTTACTTTGTCCTTGATAATTTGCTGTAGCAAAGAATTACACCCTGGGCACACAGTCCTGCACTCCTTTCTCATCTTCCTACTGTGCTCCTGGGACATGCAGGCACAGGGTCATTCCTGCCGTAAAGAGTAGCACATAGGAGGCTGCTCTCATCTTCTTGTCTATATCCTTTCCTGCAGCTGCTTCTTCCCTCATCCCATGCAGATGCTCAGTCCCTTCACAAAGCCAATCTCTCTCCCTCTCTGCCCCCCCAGTATCACCCACCATATTCCCAGCACCATCCTACCACTGTTTCTCCATCCCTATCCACCTTCAATGCTGCTTACTCCTATTTGGCCCTTCCCATACCAGCTGCCTTCTGCTTGTCTAGTCCTCCCTGGCTTTTAAGTAGCTCCCACTGCCCTCCACCAGAAGGCCTGACTAGGATTCCCTGTTGGGACCCCACTTTTCTACTGACCAGGTTTCCCTCTCAGATTAACCACTATCCCAGTGAGCACTGAGGCCTAGTGATAACTGAGGCCTAGTGAGCCTAACAGTGGGAAAGTGGATACAAGTTTATAAAGTATTAAATAACTTATTACAATTAATGTTGATGGGAAAGATGTTAAAAGGGAGACAAAGACCAAATTAGTCTAAACAAAAAGGCCTAGTGAAATAACTCAACGATTGTTAAAATCATGCCTAGTAAAAGAAAGAAGAGTGGGACTACAAATCAATGGACTAAAATTAGTGTGTTGGAAATTAGGCCTAATTGGTGGACAAAATAATCAGGGGATGGACTATTCCTCCCACCACTCGCGTCTGGGTCCTCAAAAAGAGACTTTGGGAGAAATTAGCAACCAGAATGCTGGCTGCCTGAAAGATGGGAGACCACAATGGGCTTCACCATTATGGCTGCCACCCCGGCATCTCCTGGGATCCACAGTGACACTACTGGGCCTGCTCCTGAGAGATGTCCTGACCAGACTTGGCCAAAGAAAAGGACCCAAATGACATCATCACCTCCACTGGCTTCCACTAAATCCCAAACACCATCTGGGGTGTGAAATTTAGTTACTCCCCTTGTGTGTTCTTTTCCTTCCCCACTTCCCCAACTATCACTTAGCCAGAAAAGGTGCCTGAAGACTCCTCAGCTAAAACAACCCTGTGTCATACTCTTATGACATCCTTTGGTTCTCTCGGGAGCACAAATAAAGTCATTTTGGAGATAGAGAATTGGAGCATTATTTTTCATCAGGAGATAAGATTATACTTCTCTTGATATTGCCTGGCTAGTGCAGACCTAAAGAAGGAAGCTGCTGTCACTTTGATTAGGAACTAAATTAGGTTTTATTCTCCAATTTTTGATTAGGGTTTTTCTCTTACTCTCTTTTTTTCTCTTACTAAAATTAATGGATATTGTGAAATTGTGGTGGTGAATACTGACTTTCTGGGTTCCCTTATATGAAACATTCATATCATAGCAAGTGGCATTGTCTGTAGTGTCTTATGCTTTTCCCCTCATTTCAAGGAGCAGCCATGATTACAAAAACTGCTGGCAACATGTCCCTGGCAGCAACGTGTCCCTGGCAGCAACATTGCTATCCATGGGAAGCAGGTGGCAATGTGGAAGCAAGTGGCCCTTGTGTAGACATTGTGTTCCTGTAACCGAATCCCTGAGCTCAGCCGGGTTGGCTGTGTGTTCACTAGAAAAAAGATATGATAGTAACTTGAGTTGGCTAACTCAAGGTGAAATTCTAGTTGAAGACAAAACAGTTTGTAGTTTTCTTGAAAGTAAACCATAGTCTTTAAATTGCTTGACCTAGTATTTCATGTGAAAACTACAAACTGCTTTGTCTTCACTAGGATTTTGCCAAGAGTTAGCTAACTCGAGTGAAGAATACCTTTCCCGCCCCCCCCAGGGAAAAAAATGCCGCATACATGGAGCCATCTTACTTTCTATTCTCGAATGGAAGAATTCAAAGTAAACTCTGCTGGTTAAAATGTACGTTCTCCATTCCTTATTTTGAATTATTCCCACAAGGGCATAATGAGCCACTTAGTTCTTAAGAGATTAGGTAGCCTGGTTGTTTTAACATCTTCAGTCCTGAATTCTTTGGTGCTATATGCAAAGTGTGTCACATAAGTGGCTAATAGGTCATTGAGGGATTTTAATAAAATGATGGTTCATCTCAGGAACCTAGGTTCTCACAGAAATTTGTTTAGTGGCCTGAATCCTGTGGTCAGTATCTGAAAGTTACCTTGTAATTTTTTACATTTGCAGTAGCTGTCTGTACAGAGAAACAAACCGATGGACGTGTGGGAAAACAGGACTGTAATCTGACAAGCATGAGCAAAGCTATAGTCCACAGGGAATGTTTCACAGTGCCTGCTTGTATTATAGGCTTGGGCCTCACTGTCCTGAGCATGACAGTTCAATAAAATGAGAGAATATTTTTGTTTAATACTAAAAAAAGTCAATACCCACCCCCATTCATTTTGTCATTTAAGTTTGCACAGAGTGTGTTTACTCTTCATATATAAAACAGTAACACATAAAACACCTATTTTGATTATAAAATCGCCAAGGAATCCAGAAGGTGTAGAAGCATCTAAAATAGAGATGTGAATAGAGGCCAAGAACAGCTTTTTTTAAACTTATGTTTAATATGCAGTATAAACTTATAGTTTATAGGCAATATACATAGGCAATATAAGCTTAGTTTCTTACTCCTCCTCACTCCCTTTATCACTTTATTCCACTCACAGTTGTTCAGGGACATGTGGTGTGAAATGGCGTATCTTCCCTTCTACAAATTTTTCACAATATCATGGTGAAGTGATCTGTACACTTCCAAGATATGAACCACAGTGGTGCAAGCTAAGGACCAAAATCCTCAAGTGCTTCTCTAGAAAAATTTTAATTTGGCCTGTAAGTGATTTACCATATCCTGTTGTGGGAGGGTGAAATCACCGTGAAATCACATCACAGAAGTAGGAGTATGTTGTCTCTTACTCTGATAATTAGGGATGGGCTTGGACTATGAAGTCTAGCTCCAGTTCAAATTTCCCCATGTCTGAGGCTGCTCAGATTCAGGGTATTCATTCAGACTTATCTTCAGTGGTTATATCTATATGTATATCTATGAGAGAGAGAGAGAGTGAGTAAATACCAGATGGTATAGTTTGCAACACTGTACTTTCACATCATCAGTTTTATTCAGTTGGCTGAGATTAGCCAGAGAGTTTTTCACCAAGCTGAACTAAAATAACCAAAAGGTAGACATAGGTACAGGATAGTATTCTTTGAAAACAGTCAGAATCACTTAATAAAAGTTTCTTATAGACAAATAGACACTTTAATTGCAAGTTCAGCACAAGGGAAAATTGACTTTTTCCACTAAATATTTAATATAAAAATGTTTTCAAAGCACCTCATAAACATCATAAAAGATGAAGGATGAAATGGATGCAATACTTACCCAGCTAACCCACCAAAAATCTCCGTGACATAGGAATAATCCCCTCCTGATTTCGGGATAGCAACTCCTAGCTCAGCATAACATAAAGATCCAAGGACAGCAATTCCTCCTCCAAGCACCCAAACAACAAGAGCTAGTCCCACTGACCCAGAGTGTTCCAGAACTCCTTTTGGTGAAATAAAGATTCCAGAACCAATAATGTTACCTGGAATAAACAAAAGATTGGTGGGGTGTTAGGGGAAAAGATAGAGGTAAGTTCTCTCATTGCTCTTCTAAGGTTTGATTGCATTTATGTTTGCGTAAACCTTAAGGAAAATGTTGCAACTTAGCAAAAATCAAGTAAAATGGAGAGCATTAGGTCTGCTGAAGCAGTTTATGGGAAGCTGGTGAACATGTTTTTACTAAAGCACTGCAATTAGACACATTTAAACAGTTTGTAAAATTGTTCCCTCTCACCTGCACTGTCCCCAGCTATTATAATTAAAGGGTTCAGGAATTTATTCTCTCTTTCTAAGAGGAGTCTAAGTAATATAAAGTCCATTTACAATATAGATCAGAGTCTAAATCGGGGTGGGCAAACTACGGCCCGAGGGCCAGATCCTGCCTGCGAGCTGTTTTAAGTCAGCCTGCGAGCTCCCGCTGGGGAGTTGGGTTTGGCCCAACTCTGGCCGGGGCGCTGGGTTGGGGGGTGCACCATGTGGCTCCGCCCCGCTCCGGTGCTCCAGCTGGGGCGCTGGGTCAGGGGCCGAACCAGGGGCTCGGCCCCGCTCCGGCCTGGGTGCTGGGTCGGAGGCCAGACCACGCAGCTTGGCTCTGCTCTGGCACTCTGGCCGGGGCGCTGGGTCGGGAGCTAGACCACGCAGCTCAGCCCTGCTCCAGTGCTCCAGCCGGGGCGCTGGGTAAGGGGCCGCACCACATGGCTACTAGAAGCCAGGCATGGCCCCGCTCTGGCTCCTACGTGCTCCAATGGCCCCCTCCTGCGCTCCAATGGGAGCTGCAGGGGCAGTGCCTGCGGACAGGGCAGCGTGCAGAGCCGCCTGGAAACACCTCCGTGTAGGAGCCGAAGAAGGGTTATGCCACTGCTTCCGGGAGCTGCTTGAGGTAAGCGCTGCTCGCAGCCTGCACCCCTAAGCCTCTCCCCATGCCCCAACCCCCTGCCCCAGCCCTGATCTCCCTCCCGCTCTCTGAACCCCTCAGTCCCAGCCCAAAGCACCCTCCTACACCCCAAACTCCTCATCCCCAGCCCCACTCCAGAGCCCACACCCCCAACCAGAGCCATCACCCCAACCCCAATTTTGTGAGCATTCATAGTCCACCATACAATTTCTATTCCCCGATGTGGCCCTCGGGCCAAAAAGTTTGCCCACCCCGGTCTAAATAATACATGGTGTAGCTACAATGTGGTGACCAATCAGAGGCTGTCATTTGGGGCTCTGGCCAAAGGAACAAATGAATTTAAACCCATGTTATAGCTTGTACTTGAACAAAATCCTTTAAAAGGCTGACGTCCTTGAAGTCCATTAAAGTCTTGATATTTCTAACACGTGCTCAGTGTCCATGGATTCTTAAGGGATAAATAATATTGTGTGAACAATATATAGGACAACGTGAACTTTGTAGTACTAATGATTGATACATGAGCTGAAGTAACGCTACCATTACAAAATGAACACTCGATTGTTGCAGCATTTTTCTTTCATATGGAGCCTGTCTACTCTCACTGAACTCAATGGAAATTCTGCCATTGTCTTCCTCGAGTGCAGGAGCAAGCCCACAGAGATCAGTCTCAGGGGTTAGCCCTAACAGGAGAGACATCCCTGTGTGACAGACCCAGACCAGTGGGGTACAGGAGTCTGGTAGAGGGCAAATATACTGGTCACTGGATGAGTAGTTTTCTGTTCCCTGAGTGACCACAGCAGGGGCTGCACTAGAGTAATCAGGAACCTGCTAGAACCAGTTAAGGCAGGCAGGCTAATTAGGACACCTGGAGCCAATTAAGAAGAAGCTGCTAGAATCAATTAAGGCAGGCTAATCAGGTCACCTGGGTTTTAAAAAGGAGCTCACTTCAGTTTGTGGTGCGAGTGTGAGGAGCTGGGAGCAAGAGGCGCAAGGAGCTGAGAGTGTGTGCTGCTGGAGCATTGAGGAGCACAAGCGTTATCAGACACCAGGAGGAAGGTCCTGTGGTGAGAATAAGGAAGGTGTTTGAAGGAGGCCATGGGGAAGTAGCCCAGGGAGTTGTAGCTGTCATGCAGCTGTTACAGGAGGCACTATAGACAGCTGCAGTCCACAGGGCCCTGGGCTGGAACCCGGAGTAGAGGGCGGGCCTGGGTTCCCCCCAAACCTCCCAATTGACCTGGACTGTGGGTTCTCCCAGAGGGGAAGGCCTCTGGGCTGTTTCCCAACCCACATGGTGAATCTCTGAGGCAAGAAAATCCGCCAATAAGCGCAGGACCCACCAAGATAGAGGAGGAACTTTGTCACACCTGTTAGACTTGGGGTTTTCAGTGCAATATCCTTATCCTGGCAGGCTCAAGTGCACATTTTTTTCCAACATCAAAACTTCTATAAAGAGAATAGGGAAACTCCTGCAATAATATTCTATAAAGAGACTTTTCTCCTCTGTGTGCGCGCATACACACACAAAGTTGGCTAACTTTGAGCTACAGTTGTTGAAGTGCATTTCCTATCAATGCAATCACTAAAAATCCTGGATATCACCAGTTAATCAACATTGACATCTGGACCAACACACTTCATGTGCCTGTCCACCCACATGTCATCGCACCAGATTCACTCTCTCATCTTCTGCACAACAAACATCCTTTCACTTCTAACATATAACCACACCCGATGCACACTTCTCATTCTTCAAATCATGCTAGCATGCACAACCTTAACTCTTATCTCAATTCTCTTTAGGTAGAATTAACACCGACTTTCTTTGCATCGGTCTTCACTGCAGAGGACGTGGGGGAAGATATCCACGTCAGAGCTATGCTTTTTGGGTGACAAATTTGAAGTATTATCCTACACTGATGTGTCAATAGAAGAGGTTTTAGAACAAATTGCTTACATTAAACAGGAATAAGTCACCAGGACCAGAGGGCATTCAGCCAAGAGTTCTGAAGGAACTCAAATCTGAAATTGCAGCACTGCTAACTGTAGTATCAAGTATCAGAGGGGTAGCCATGTTAGTCTGAATCTGTAAAAAGCAACAGAGGGTCCTGTGGCACCTTTAAGACTAACAGAAGTATTGGGAGCATAAGCTTTCGTGGGTAAGAACCTCACTTCTTCAGATGCAAGTGTAACCTAACATAACTGTAGTATGTAACCTATCGCTGAAACAAGCCTCTGTACCAGATGACTGGAAAATAGCTAAAGCGATGCTGATTTTGAAAAATGGTTCCAGAGGTGATACTGGCAATTACAGGACGGTGAGCCGAACTTCAGTTCTGGGCAAATTGGTAGAAAGTGTAGTAAGGAACAGAATGATCAGACACATAGATACATATGCTCTGCTGGGTAAGAGTCAACATAACTTTTGTTAAGGGAAGTCATGCCTTACCAATCTATAGAATTCTTTGAGTGTGTCACTGTGGATAGTTTTCTGAAAACTTCAGGTCAATGCGCATCAGCAGTCAAAAAGGCTAAAAGAATGTTAGGCACTATTAGGAATGGGATACAAAGTAAAAGAGAAAATATCATAACACTGCTATATGAATCCATGGTGTGCCCATGCCTTGAATACTGTGTCTAGTTCTCAGCACCCCATTTCAAAAAGGATACAGTGGAATTGGACACGGTTCAGAGAAGGGCAACAAAGAAGATTAAGTGTATGGAAAGATGTCCACATGAGGAGAGACTACAAAACCGTTCAGCTTAGAAAAGAAACGACTAAGCAGGGATATAATAGAAGCCTACAAAATCATAAATGGCAAGGAAAAAGTGAAGAGAAAAGTGTTTTGCCCTTCCCCACAATATAAAAACCAGGGGTCACCCAATGAAATTAATAGACAGCAGGTTTAATACAAACAAGAGGAAATATTTTTTCATACAATGCACAATTAACCTGTGGAACTCATTGCCATGGGATGTTGTGATAATCAAAAGTATAACTGGATTCAAAAAAGAACTGTATAAGTTCATGGAGGATAGGTCCACCAATGGCTATTAGCCAAGATGGTCAGGGATACAACCCCATGCTAAGGGTGACCCTAGACCTCTGACTGCCAGAAGCCATGGGTGGATCACTCCAACTGCCCTGTTCTGAACACTCCCCCTGAAGCTCTGGTACTGGCAATTGTTAGAAACAGGATACTGGTCTCACCCAGTTTAGCAGTTCTTACGTTCTTATGCGTGGAAGGAAGCAGCTCTCTAATAGGAGGTATGAGAAGGCTGCAAGGTACAGAATGGTCCACTTGGGGGGGACGGGACTGATGACTAGCTTGGTATTTCACAAGACAAAGAGTCACTATTTCTCCACTGGATGGCCCTGGTGTTCAGATGTGTGGGGGCAGCACTCAGGGTCACATGTCCCCTCCGGAGGTGCTGCTTGGCTTGTATTGAGCATGCTCAGTAACATCTGCTGAAGCTGCTGCCCTCACTCTGCCCACCCCCTTATCGGCAGGTACAGGTCATCTCTGCTGGTATTTGTTGCTGGAGGGGTGTCCCACAGTTATGGACTATAACAGGTGTGCTGAAGCGGGACTTTCCTGTTGCAGAGTCTAGAAGGTTCCTAGCTCCTCACACATCCAGATGTCAGGCCACAGATAGATCTGCTAGCACACAGATTTGCTATAGTGCGTTGTCATGGTAAATCCGCGAAACAAAACAAAAAACAGTTCCACATCAACATAACAGACAACTCATCAAGATGCATCCTCAGAACAACATACTTTACATAAGGACAATGGAATGAAGGTGGTTTTTATAATTGTTTGGAGCTGGGTGGCTTGGGTATCATAACAATGAATTTAGAAAGTGGGAGTATTTTACACCAGCCCTGCTAACGTGTTCACTCATGTAGGACAGAGCTGCTGTATTGTTACTTAGTGTTTAAATAAGTAGAGCTTTTCCAAGCCTGCAGCTCAACCAAGTCAAAACGCTAAGCTTTAAAACTTTCATTTTGGTGTCACGGGGTTCAGCTGAGATGGCATTTTATATATGCCTGCAATTCACACTGGTGTGTAAAATGTGGGTTGATGT